TAAACTGGCAGTGAAAAAAAAAAAAAAAGATCTGACAGCTGAGAAATCGGGATGATTTCACTCAATTCTTGTATTAATATGATTCAATAGTGGCATCAGCTTCCATCTTTATTAGAGCTCATGCATTATTGAATTAAAACTAGATGAAATTATGTTTTTGGGTTTAATGGGAACATAATTATTATGCAGTACAGTAATTGGGATGCAGTCTGTGTTAAATGACACGGATGTTTACTTGTCAGCAATCCTTTGCCACACTATGTAGTGTCTCTTTTATGCAGCCACCATGTTTGAGTTTTCATTGAAACTTTTTTTCCCCCTCATTGTATTGCTGTAAGATGAGTTTTTTTCCTCGCAGTAGAAATACAGTGTTCTCCCTTCTGAGCTCGTGGTTGTAATTGGTCTGCTAGCTTGAAGCCGGCCGAGCAAAGATTCCTGATCAGTTCAATCTGGCCTGAGTTAGCGAGTTGATAACCAGCTTCGAGGCATTTATTCTGATTGCCACTTTTGTGGATTAGTTAAACTGGATAGACTGGAAGTAATCCCGCTATGTTGGGCTCTCTTCGTGGTACGGGCCCCTGGTATCTGATTTCCCTGTTATCAGATTTCTGCTGTGCATGTAAACATGCTCAATTTGCTGACCTTAACTTCCTATTAGGCTTTTCTATGAAACAGTGAAACACGAAACATACCTTAGTTCCTTATATTGTTTTCCTTTTGTAAACCTGCATATTTTTCACTTAATTATGGTCACTATACTAGTATTTAAATATAAAAAGATGGACTAATCAACTATTTTTTAGATGTAAAAGATCACAGATGTTTATTATGCGTAACAACACTCTTTTCTTCATCCAATTTGAATAGTTTGAGTACTTCCATCAGAAAAGCAAATGCCATCATCTTAGTAAAACAGAAAAAATGTTTACCTCGCTGGTGAACATGGCACAGAAATAGTCGCTGCAGGCGGCCAGGACGATCCGGTGAGCTGGAAAGTCTGTGCTGTCCACCCTCAGAGTGATGTCGCAGAGCGTGTTGCTCTTGCGTAGTGAGTTCATTGCATTGAGGATGGATTTGGCATGCGAGTTGGTCATGATGTCTTTAGGAGCCATGTTGCCTTGGGAATCCGTCAAGGATCTCAAACTACCGCAGGAATCTGGAAACAACACAAACAAAAATGTCTACGTAATCAGGATAACGCATCTGCGGTTTGTTTAATGTGACTGTAAAAAGGCTGTCATAGTCAACTATAAATTCTAGGTCAAACTTGTGGCTCCTATAGTGTTTCAAGTATGTTGGAAGCTTTCATAAATAAATTATGCATGTTATCCCGTGCAGTACTGCAGAAATAAAATTTCCTTTAAGTTTAAAGACAGATTGCCCAAGACAAAGCAGGTTAAAGGGATCCAGATTTCCCTTTAGAGATCCAGTGTACTAACACCAACATTAAAAAAGAGGCCTAAGAGGCCAGACAAGGTGCAGATTGAAACATTTAATAAAATTTGAACTCAAAAGCTGCAGCATGAATGTTAGATCTCAGTCTCTGTAGAACAAAATATCCTAAATACTGATTCCACTAAATTGCATCCAAAGATAAAAACTGCAAATATCCAAGAGCGTTTTCTGCCATTAAGATTCCATAATATTACAGAATAATTTTAATGTTTGTTAGGTGATTTAGAAAATAACTCAAGAAATTAAGAGTATTAACAGAAATGTAAAGATACATGTTTCAGATTATTAATCAAAACTAAGTTGCCATATAGATTGCATGCTTCTTTTAGTTAAATTATATTTCAATTCAATTTAGTTTATTTTTATAGCAGCAATTCACAACACATGTCATCTCAAAACACTTTGCAGTTCACCAGATCATACAGTCAAATTGATTCAAAGTTTTCTATCTAAGGAAAACCAGTTGATTGCATCGACT